ACAAGGAAGCCCTCCCTATAGAGCCCTAGCACAAAGTAATCCTACACAACATCCCTACATCTCTTGCAACAAACTAAGACCTACAGGTGCTAAAGATAGAAATTGCTACCTTTAATAGAGGCCTAACTATTGTTGGACATCTATTCTAGATAATAAGTAGAGATAAAAGACAGAGACAGCAACTAGGCTCTGTCTGTGTAGCATTTGCTATAGAGAAGGAAGCACAACAGGCTATTAGAAATAGACTATACCTGCTTGGCGCTAGCATTAAAGCAGAAAGATTTATTGCTACACCCCCTTCTACACAATGCCAAAACTGCCAGCGCTACGGCCACACAGAGACTAGGTGCCTCTATAGCACTACCTGTAAAATCTGTGCAAAGGAGCACCCTACAGCACTCCACAAGTGTAATACGTGCAATGCTAGAGGCAAGATCTGTGCACACACTCTACCTATGTGCTTAAACTGCAAAGAGGCACACACTGCAGATAGCACACAATGTGCAGCTTATAAAGCTACACTAAACACGCAAACAAACCTAGAATGCTAGACAAGTTAAGGATCCTACAAGTAAATCTAAACAAGAGCACACAAGCAATAGAGAGTGCCTTGCAACTTGCAGTAGAACTAGTAATAGACCTTATACTAGTACAAGAGCCTTAGCTTATTCCTGCTAGACAAACTCCTTTAGATTACTTAGACACATGCTCTGTAAATAACCCCTCCTTTACACAAATCCTTCCTTTGTTATAAGACTACAGCACAAGACCACGTGTTTTGGTCTACTCTGCACGCACTATACAAGCGCAAAAATATCAATCAGAACACAAGCTGGGCAAATCCGCTGCACAAAGGCAGCAAAGGCAATTCACAGCAAAGGCGCCATAGTTAGCCTACACTAGACCCCAGGACACCTAGATATCATAGGAAACGAAAAAGCAGACTCCTTAGCAAAACAAGCTGCAAAACAGCAACCAGTATCTAATACTACAAGTCTTGCAATAACAGGTATTAGGATTAAAGCTATTGCAAGACAAGAGTGGCAACATAAACTCCAAGCCTACTCTATAAAAGCAAAGCTTAGGAATCCTAGCACCTACGCAGCAAGGTTCTTGCTAAAGCTAACAAGCAAGATAACAATACTAAAAAACACTAGAAGAGAAATTGCAAGCGCATACTACCAGCTTAAACTTGGACATGGATATAACAAAGCATACCTATATAATAGATAAAAAACAGAAAGCTCTAAATGCAGCTGTGGATATACACAAACACCTTAATACCTACTACATAGCTGTAGAAACTACAGAGAAGCAAGAAAGAAAATAAAGAGCAGCCTACAGGAGACAAGGCTAACAATGCCTCTTCTCCTAGACACAAATAGGGGAATCCAAGCTACTCTAGCTTTTATTCAAGAAACTAAAGTAGGCACGCGCAAGTAGTACCTACAGCAAACAATAGACAACTAATTTCCTTTGTCTATAACTAGAGCACAGGCTCTCACTATATATCTACAAACCTATATATACTTTTCCCTTCTACAGAAAAAACTTGTAAATTACTAGAGCAGCCTCACTACTCTTGTCCTATATAGTCTTAGACTCACACAGGACGTTAAACTAATCAATCAATCAATCAATCAATCAATCCTGCTTGGCGACTTCAATATTAACCACCCATAGTGGGACCCTATAGTGTCTACTATAACTCTAAGAGCAACTAGTGTTGTTACTTGGCTAGAAGAACAAGACCTAGAACTACTAATAAGTCCTGGCACAGGCACTTTCTTTAGGCCTAATATGAATAGAGAGAGTGTCCTAGGCCTAACCTTTGCTATGTAAAGTTATAAGACTTTGTTCTTATAATCTTTCTCTAGCGTATTTCCCTCTTAGGTATAGCGCTATGCTTACCTAAGCATTGCTATTGTAATCTCTAAGAAGAGAGGATTAGAATGGTGTGCTTACAAAGCCTGTATCTCCTCTCGTTCTTAAGATATGCTTTTCTCTATTTTTAGTAACTAGAAATGTTCTAGACCCTCTGCTTATAAATAGAGTAGCCTACTCTGTGAGATGCTGACGTATACGATTACGCATGCACCTACGTAATCTTGCTTGCATATGCAGCAATACTAAGCATAGATGCAGTAGACCTACCTAGAGGAGTCTAGAACGTTCTGCTTAGAAATACAGACAGAGGAGAGGAAGCATAAATACCTCTGGCTCTCCCCCCTCTGTTCGCTCTGTATCTAGCCTAGGAATCTCTACCTAGTATCTAATATAATAACTTGTCTATTATATTACATAACCCTACCTTACCTCTATTAGGCTATACGCTTCCTATTTAGACAAAGCTAGTCTAGATTTGTCTAGGTCCTTCTAGACTAGGAAGAAAGTAGTCTAGTCCTTCCCCTACTTTCTTTACATGCTACAACACAGCTAGCAAACCTTATAGAAGACTGGCAAACGCTAGGAGGAATTGGCTCTCACCACCTAGGCATCTTATTTATAATAAGGATGCCTAGAACACAGCAACCTAATAAACCTGCTCCTAGGTTTAATACAAAGAAAGCAAACTGGAAGCTGTTTAGCAAAGTGCTAGCTAAGGAGATAGTAAACAGCTCTGATTGATTGATTGATTGATTGATTGATTAGTTTAACGTCCTGTGTGAGTCTAAGACTATATAGGACGAGAGCAGTGAGGCTGCTCTAGTAATTTACAAGTTTTTTCTGTGTAAGGGAATAGTATATATAGGTTCGTAGACATATAGTGAGAGCCTCTGCTCTAGTTATAGACAAAGGAAATTAGTTGTCTGTTGTTTGCTGTAGGTACCACTTTCGCGTGCCTACTTTAGTTTCTTGAATAAAAGCTAGAGTAGCTTGGATTCCCCTATTTGTGTCTAGGAGAAG